GCTGAGAAACCAAGCTCCACAGAAAACGAGGAGGAGGAGATCAGAAATGGCGTTGGTCGGAGAAGAAAGTAAGTTGGAGCTGAGCTTAGGGTTGCCGGGTGGCGGCGGCGGCGGAGCACCGCCGCCCGGAGCCGCAGATCATGCTACGGCGGCGGCGACGGGAAAGGGGAAAAGAGGGTTTGAAGAAACCCATCAGCATGTGGATTTGAAGCTGAAGCTTTCGTCTAAGGACTCACAGATCCATGCTTCTGATCATAATAAGGCCAACAATAAGGATGCTGACGTCACCAAGCCTCCAGCCAAGTAAGATTCCTACATTTCTTTGGTAATCAAGTTTTATCTCAAATTAAGTTTCTGGTCGGGTCGCATATGGAACGTTGTAGGTTTGAGTCTTAGTAGATCGAAACGAAAGTAGTTATAAACAGATACTGCAGTGGTTGAGTGTGTAAAGCAACTGAAAGTAGCTATAAACAAATACTGCAGTGGTTGAGTGTGTAAAGTAACTGAAAGTAGTTATAAATAGATACTGCAGTCATAAGTTTGATTCTTATCAATACTTTCTCGATTCAACTTATTACACAGAGTTTAGTAACTGAAAGTAGTTATAAATAGATACTGCAGTCATAAGTTTGATTCTTATCAATACTTTCACGATTCAACTTATTACACAGAGTAGTAGTTATAAATAGATACTGCAGTCATAAGTTTGATTCTTATCAATACTTTCACGATTCAACTTATTACACAGAGTTTTTCTATTGCAGTTTACCTTATCTTATCTTATCTTATCTGTATGATTTACGGGAAGAGATTAATGAGTTGTTGTTATTGGATGGAAATCCATCTATCAGGGCACAGGTTGTAGGTTGGCCACCAGTCCGGTCTTACCGGAGGAACATCCTGGCCGCGAACAACCACCAAAAGAGTGGCGGCGAAGACGGCAGCGACAAGGCTGCAGTGTTAGTTAAGGTTAGCATGGATGGTGCACCCTACCTTAGGAAAGTGGACCTAAGCATGTACAAGAGTTATCAAGACCTGTCTGATGCCTTGGCCAAGATGTTTGGCTCCTTCACTATTGGTACTCAATCATCTTTTACAAATAATACATACATCATCACTCATATACATACATGATATATGGATGCATGCAACATGCCAACATGCATAGATTTATTATTATTTCTTGGTATCATGCATGTACCTTATAATGGGTTCCGATACTACTAAAAATCAATGATTTCAATTTACTTTATCGACCACTCAAAAAAGTGACTAAAATTAAAGTTACTCCCTCTATCCCATTTTGTTTGTCCAGTTTATTATTAATTTATCAGAGTGTCAAACTAACTCTTTCTTCCTTGTTTATTTTCTTTAGTAATTTTTAATTATTTTAAATTTATTTTGTTTTGGGTTTAATTAATAGTACTTTTAATGTAGTTTCTAAATATATGAATTTTATATACTAACTAATACTAAACTTAATATTATGAAAAATTAGATTAAAAATAATTTTAGTCAAACTTTGTTAAATAGAACAAATGGAATAACTTTTTAACTTTTTTCACCACTTTTACTTGGTGGTCGAAAAAATGGTCAAAATGTTTGACCACCTTTACTTGGTGGTTAGAAATTCGACTAGGGGGTTTCAGTCCAAGCATAGTTACTAGCTAGCTAGTATAGCATGCAATGATGCATGGTTTTCAGGACGTTTAAGTCCATCCTATCACGCCAAAGACCTTGTGGTCAAGCGACATAGTTGTGACTCTCCAAATGAAAACTCAGAACTTTACTGGGGTCATTGACTCTTTGTGCTAGGTTAAAAAAGTAATACAAAAAAAAAGTTCCAATTTCAACGTATCTTTTATCCTTAGAGGTTAAAATTATGAAATGATGAAGTAAAGTAGAGTGGTTATGTGGATGAATGAAGGTAATTGTGAAGCGCAAGGGATGAAGGATTTCATGAACGAGAGCAAGCTGATGAACGTGTTGAACACTTCTGATTACGTTCCCACCTATGAAGACAAGGATGGTGATTGGATGCTTGTCGGCGATGTCCCATGGGAGTAAGCCTACTTCATATATTTAATTAATATATTTACCCTATTATTAATCTAATCTTATTATGCATGCATGCATGTAACATGTGTTGCTGGAAATTATAAAATTTCCGACCAGAAAGTGATCTTATATCAAGTCGAAAACAAAAAGTGGTTGGAAATAGCAACAAAAGTTTTTTCCTATACCAAAAGTGGTCGGAACAATGTTTTTGACTTAATTTAAGATATTTTCAGATGGTTGGAAATTCCATAATTTTTAATAGTTTGTATGTATATATAGCTAATCTAATATATATTGATTGTTTGTTCCATCCCAGGATGTTTGTGGAATCCTGCAAGCGCTTGCGTATTATGAAAGGAACAGAAGCTATTGGGCTTGGTAAGTGATATATAGGATCAAGTTTTTTTTTTTTTTTTTAAATGACCAGGGAAACTTGCAATCACTACCTTGAGGTATGCAAGTTCAAGTCGGTTTTGTGACTTTAACTAACAAAGGACTACAAGGAAGTAAATTAATTTAAATTGTTCATAGTTGACTGATGACTCAAACCTTCTGAGCCAAGAAGGTCAATAGGTCACTCCCACTTGGTTGGGGACTTGGGGTTGCCTTCTAATAGATGAGTTTGACAACCAGCTTGATTAGGGTGGGTGGCCGTGTACTAGTACTCTCCTCTCCTAAGAAAGGTCCGGAATTCGAATCCCTTCTCGTATGGTAACAAATCAATCTGACCAGCACTTTGTCCCTTAATTGGGTCAGGTCAGTACGAATGGAGATTAGTCTTGAGTATGATATGGGCTTAAAGGTGTCTCCTACAGTTATTAGGTCCTACTGAGGACACCTGACAACAAAAATAGATCGAGTTTGACTTGATGAAGTACATGTATACTATTATTACTCTCTTCTGATATGAATATGGTATGAAAAACAGCGCCTAGAGCCATGGAAAAATGCAAGAACAGAAGCTGAAGCGGAAGCCAACGCGCCACCACGTGCGGCGGTAGTGATGGCGGAGGTGCGGGGTGGTGGGTGGGTTGTGTTTGTAAGTTGATTATCTAGTGGCCTGGGTAATGGTATTGTACGTTATGATGATAGTGGTTTGAAGAATTGATTGATGTATGGATTAAAGGTTGTTTAATTGTGTATTTAATCAGGGAGAGAGAGAGGACAGTAAATTTAAGGTTGTGATGATGATGATGATCTAAGACTTTAGTGTTTTCCTTGTATGTTTCAGTCTCTGTTTATGGTTTGCCTAATAATAGGGTACCCACTACTGTGCCCAAAAGTATGGATAATGTGAGATAATCTAGTGGATGGGTAATTGTGTATGCAAAAACCTAACATTTTTATCATTTCTTTTTGGTTTAATTTGCTTTTCAAGAAGTGATATATATATATATATATATATATATATATATATATATATATATATATATATATATATATATAAAGGCTTGTACCAAACAATGTGCTTTTGTCTGTCTCTCATCTACAGCATTTATGTATGCAAAAAGAACTTATCACTTGACTACTATTATTGCTCCAACAGTAACATACTTTTATTAGTTTATAAGCAACTAAAATATACTGTAATATTTAAGAGCATGGAATTAATGAGTTTATTTATCCATCTAATAGTCAATCTTTGCAAATGAAAGGTAGATTCTACTTTACTGAATTGGATCAAGAATATTGCAATAAAATATTTGGGCAACATTATATTATAATCTAAAGTATAATATCCATGACAATTATTTGTATAATTATTATTTTAAATCAGTAGCAAGAATTGACCATCCTTACTGAGAAATGTAAAGTCTCATATAACAAGAATTACTATTTTTCTACTCACGTGATCTCTAATAGGGCGTTTGGTTGGAAGGAATGAATTTAGGGAGAAAGAAATTGTAATTCGGTGGGAATAAAATATGAATTCAAATTACATTGTTTGGTGGGGAGAAATAGAATTATTGAAATTGAGAAGGAAAGAAGTGGTATAAAGACTAAAATACCCTTGTATAATAATAATAGTAATAGCAACCAAGAGTAGTAATGTCATTTCATATATTTTTCTTTTCTCAAATTCATTGAACTGCAATTCATGAAGGTACCCCATGAATTGCAGTTCAACAAAAGGAGGGAATTGCAATTCCCTCCAACCAAACAACATAATTGAGGCATTTATTGAATTCCAATTCAATTACAGTTAAATTAGAGTGAACCAAACGCCGTGTAAAAGTTTTTTAAACACGTTAGCAGTAAGTTGGGATCAAATGTCCATGGAGCTGAATTAGAAAAGGTGGAAAAATGTGCACATGGGCAACTCAACTGATCATCAGAGGCGGACCCACAATGGGGACAGTGGGGGCAACTGCCCCCACCCCCCACCCCATACTATATATATTGTATGTAGGTCCTTATATAGATAATAAACATTTATATATTAAATATACCAAATTTTAAATAGAAGTTAATCTAGCTTAGATGGTAAGGCTAATTATTCCTATATGAATAGGCCAGGGTTCAAAACTTGTAAAGTTATGTTTTTTTTTTGGTAACATTGTGACTTCTTCTCTATTTTACTTTTTAATATTAATAGTGTGATGAGTAATTTATAATGTGTTTTACTTTTTAATATTAATAGTGTGATGAATAATTTATAATGTGTTTTCCATTCGAATTATTTTATCTAATTAATTATGTTTTATATTTTGTTTTAAATATTTTTTTATTGTGATGTATTTTATGTTTTCATTTTTAATTAAGGCTATGTCTCTAAGTGTTTTATTTTTTTATGTTTCAAAATATCTCGTTAATAAAATTTTCGCTCCCACTGGAAAAGATTTCTGGGTCCGTCACTGCTGATCATAGAGGTGAAAGTTGGAAAAAATGACCAGGGATCGAGTCTCATCAGTGACAGTGCGGGAGCAACCTCTCAAAGTAAGGGGCTCCTTATGCGCAATGAGCAACGATCTGTCGGTATCGGGCTCTTTTTGAAAGAAAAGGTGGAAAAACATTTAGATATGCACATAAACCTTAGGGGGCGTTTGGTTCAGGTTATATAACATAACCAAGGGAATGTGACATTCCAAAGCTCACATTCCGGTGTTTGGTTCATATTATCTTAGGGAATCTAACATTCCTAACGAATGTCATATTCCCTCCACATAGGATTTTGAAGGGAATGTGATTCTCTTCAAAATCTTAGGTAATGTAAGATAACCTTAGTTATGTTAGTTTATTATATAATATAATTATAATTATTTTTGTAATTATATTTTTTTTTTATTTATTATGTTATGTTAGCATATAAAATAATTTTGTTTCTCAAGTTCAAGATTTTAGTTAATATTTTAAAATCATGTAATTATATATGATATCGTTATCTTATTTAGTTATTTTTAATTTTTAAATTTGTTAAAATATATAAAAATATATTAAGGATATTATAGTGTGTATAAAAGATAACCCTAAACCAAACATGATTATATTACATACCCCAATTTTAACCAAACACAGGAATCTAACATTCTCAGTAATCTAACATTCCCAGCAATCACTACTGGAAATTCTGAAATTTCCGACCACCTGAAAGTGATCTTAAATCAAGTTGAAAGTCTTGTTCCGACCACTTTTGGTATCCAGAAAAACCCTTGTTGCTATTTCCGACCACTTTTTTGCTTTCAATTTGATTTAAGATCACTTTCAGGTGGTCGGAAATTCAATAATTTCCAGTAGTGAATCTAACATTCTCAGTAATCTAACATTCCCAGCAATCTAACATTTCCTAAGGTAATCTGACATTCCGTGAACCAAACGACCCTTAAAGTACTATTCCATTTAAACCATTTTTATCTGTATTATTTTACTTTTTAGTCAGTCCCAAAAAGGTGACCACTTTCTTAAAATGGAAACTCTCGAACAAAACAAGAACAATGGAACTCATTTTTGTACTAATAAAATTACATATTTTGGAATAAGCTTTCTACTTCACTTTTCACCATTCTTACATTCGAGCAAATATAATCAGTTTTTACTAATAAAATAAGTATTTCATTTATTTTTCAACTCGAACAAATTATTATTTATATGTAAGGATGAGTATGGTTGGATTCAAACCTAACAGATACTGTAACAATCGAATCAAAATAACAAGAACGATTTTAGTTACTATTCAAAATCGAAATAAAATAAAATAAGTGTTGAATTTATATTATTTAAAAATAAGAATAGAATTTACAAAAACAAATAAATAAATAAATTTTGAATCAGCGGTTCAAAATCGAACTGAACCGAACTGAACTGATTTATCATTTACCAATAGTGTTTGATCATTTTCACATTTATTCTAATTCCACATATAGGTAGATATGATTGTTTTTTGATTATGGTTCACAATTCTGGAAAATGATAAATCGGAACAAGAACCTTTTAGGAAGGTTCCAGTTTCGGTTTGAATTGTCATTTCAAAATTTATTTATTTATTTATTTTTGTAAATTATTTTTTGAGAAAATGACACTTTTTCGCCTGAATTATGTACTTATAGCATTTTCTCTCTGAGTTATTCATGTATTTTTGTAAATGTGAATACATGAATAACTCAGAGAGAAAATGTTATAAACACATAATTCAGGCAAAAAAGTGTCATTTTCTCAAGAAAATATTTTTTTTACAAAATAGTTGAATGGTGTATGACTATTGGATCGATCCATGCATCTTCTTGTTAGCAATGTGAAAGATACAATATTGGCCCTATTTGGTAAATGGCATTATCTTATAGCTATTTGCGTTAATTAGAAGGTATAACTAGTTGATAATATTAGTTTATTGTAGAAAGGTGTTCGGTAAATTAACTGTTAGCTAATAGTTGTTTGGTATAATTTTTTTTCTCGTAAAGCTAATTAAAAAAGTAATTTTGAGTAACTTTTTTAATTTTTATATTTTAAAATTACAAAAAATTAATTAATCAAACACTTATATTAATTTTTTTAACAAAATTAAACAATTAATAATAATCAAATAAATTAAAATTAACTTTAATAATTCTTAATTATTTTACCAAACAGAGTCATTCTCTTCTAAGAAAAAGAGTGTAGTAGAACGTAGAAATTTTTATTATTTTATAATTTTGTTGTAGTCATTATCTCAAAGAGAGAAAGCTATCCGCCATGTCTGATGAGGAGCACCATTTTGAGTCGAAGGCAGATGCAGGGGCATCCAAGACCTTCCCGCAGCAAGCTGGTACCATTCGAAAGAATGGCTACCTAGTCATCAAATCCCGCCCTTGCAAGGTATCCTTCTTCCTTTTATCTTTCTGTAGATATGCTTATTGACTCTGATGATCTTTCCCTCCTAATTGGTGGGGTTTTATGAATTTCTGCTCTCGATTTTCAATAGGTCTGTATCTAAATTCCAGATCTCAATGTATATGATTTGTATGTGCGCATGTGTTAATGTGTATAATCTATCTGTGAGAATTCGACCGTTAATGGAGATTGGATCATCTCATCATCGGGACTGGAATAGTCTCGATTCCATGGTAGTTTAGCACTTCAATTTGAGTCTTAGTGAATGCTTTTGGTACATATATAGTGCTGTTTTTCTCTGCGATTAGCTGTTAGGCAATAGGGGGTTATGAATTAGCTACAGGGAAATGATGGGTGACCTACTTGATTGCTAAACCTAAACTTTGGATGATAAAACTCGGTTCCGGAGTGGCAGATGGTGGGCCAGGGTGATCGAGCCACAATGTGGAAGTTTCACCTTCTTGTGGGTAGCACTGGTGTTTCCACCTAACGGGCTGCTGAGTCACCATGATTTGCTCATTTCACACTTTTGTCCGGTTGGGGTGTGGGGCCCGGTGCGAGGGATTTTGCCTTTTGTGGGCAAAATTTTATATTAATGGAATTGTTTTAGTTACTTTGGTTCTTAGCCCCTCGCATAACACTCTTGTTGAACCTACTTTCAAGAATGATCTGCCATGTTGGATGCATTGTATTTTAGATTTAACCACTAGAGCAAAGACTTATATTTAGTGAAAAGCGGTGTTTCACATTTGGTAAAAAAAAAATTGTGCAAGTATGTTTTTTGATGAAGGCTATAATTGACTGTGAATGTTGTTAGCCTAGATGTGTCAAATCAATGTATTTCAATATTAAACTTTACTTTTTTAGTTAAAAATTGTGTGTTATTGTAATGAATTTCTCAGGCTTCTGGAGCTGACAACTAGCAATATTGGTCCTTAATTTTGATCGACATTACTTCTTTTAGTTGACATTCTTAAATGAAGCGGTCATTAACCATTTTTCTTCTGCTTAACTATCATTTTCTTCCGCTTAACTATCATTTTCAAATCAAAGATGTGAATGCAGGAGAAATTTTGATATTCAAAGCTGGAAGACACTTTAATATGGCTCTAGCCCATGCTGTTATTTTTCTTAATAAAAAATATATTATAGGTTTCACTGTTTTGTTTTTGGGTAACTTGGAAAACTGTAGCTCCTTAATTTATTGGTCTACTTTTCTGCTGTGGGTTGTCTGGTTCTGTAAAAGAGGATTTTGACATTTTTGTGAATAGGTTGTTGAGGTCTCCACTTCAAAAACTGGCAAGCATGGGCATGCTAAGTGTCACTTTGTGGCAATTGATATTTTCAATGGGAAAAAGCTTGAAGATATTGTTCCTTCCTCTCACAACTGTGATGTAATTCAATCTTGGCCTTTTTCTATTTTTCATTCCTTTTTGCTTTTGTATATTGTATATTTTATGCTTAAGTTTGATTTGTCTTGTATGACTGTTTTTTTCATCAGGTTCCTCATGTTAATCGCACTGACTACCAGCTGATTGACATCTCGGAAGATGGTTTTGTAAGTTGCCTACTCAAATTCATATCTAAAAATTTTAAATAAGACAATGGGTCCTAATGTAGGGCATATCATAATTTGGAAGTCGATAAGGGTTGATGACCTTTTTTCTAACTCACTACCATTCCTCTCAACATAAATACTACATTGAATCTAAATCTCGTAATGAATGCCAAGGCAATTTTTCATTCTTTCCCCTTTTAAGTCTGGAACGGGATAGCTTTTTCTATTATTTTCTTCTTGTACTTTGAGCTCAGACTTAGAAATGTGGGAACTCTGCATTGTTTTAGGTATCTCTTCTCACTGAAAACGGGAACACCAAAGATGACCTGAGGCTTCCCACGGATGATACTCTGCTTGGCCAGGTAACTAAAACTTATTTTCTCATATGTATCAATGTTTGCTTGTAACTGCAATTGATGATAGGCATCTGCTTGTGCACAGATTAAAGGTGGATTTGATGAAGGAAAGGATCTTATTTTGACTGTTATGTCTGCAATGGGAGAAGAGCAGATCTGTACAGTGAAGGACATTGGTAAAACTAATTAAGTCGCATGGTTTCCAACTCTATCGTGCTATAGCGAAAGCTTCATCTGTTTTAAGGGATCCTTGTTCGCAGAACCTGAACCTTGTTGGTTGGACTTTAGACAAAAGTGCGGGCAACTCATGTAGTGAAGGATCTGCAGCAGCAGTGGATTGAGATTTTTACCCTTTTTGGTTATGTTTTATTTCTGTGCTTAACTGTTGCAGTTAAATTCAATCTTATGGGCATGATTCCTTTCCTTTTGAAGAAACTGGCATTATGAAAGAATCTCCTTTTATGGTTTTTGTCTCTCAGGATTCCTTTCTTTTTTAGGAAAATGGCATTATAAAAGAATCTCCTTTATGGGTTTTGTCTCTCATGTGATGGTTGTACAAGTCCTATTTAGAATAGGTCTTGTGCCTTTTATGATCATCAGATTATAATGGTTATTATATAATTTATTTAGAAGAAAGTTTTAAGATGCTTATTGACATGCACTACAATGTTTGTTTTTTGCGCTATACCGAGTGTTGTGGGGGCAAAATTGAAAAAAATATTTAATAAAAATTCAGAAGTACATAATTATATTTGGTGCAAAAAATATGGTGCCATTGATATGATTGGCTTTATTTTTAATATATAAATATACTTGAACTACTATAATAGTATAAGATATATACGATACATCAAAATAAAACTAATACAAAATATCAAATTTATCAAATTTGATTCTTGTTATAAGGTTGTTAGGAATAAGCTCTCAACTACTCATTTTGAAATTCAAATGAATGGTTGAGTTCTATTGTTAGAACCTATATATAGGTTTTTTAAGTAAAATTTTAGATATATATTTTATACAGTATTTATATTTTGACACAAATATTATTTATTTATAAGGATTACTTGAAAAAAGAACTCAAATTGAAATATTGCATAAGACTCCTATTTTTATTGGAACCGTCATGTATAATTGTATATAGTTTAAAATATATTAAATGAGTATGAAATGGGTAAGATATTATTCATTCAATATGCTTGTTGGTTCCTACAATAAATAAGAAATAAACTCCTAACATCAAGTCCGTTGTAGTTTAGTTGGTCAGGATATTCGCCTCTCACTCGTAAGACCCGGGTTCGATTCCTGTCAATGGAATTTTTTTACTAGTACAGCTTTTCTTGTTTCTGTGCAATCTGGCTTCAGCTTCTTCAACATTGATAACTTCACTGCTTAAACTATAACAGATGAGATCCACTGCTCCACAATATTGTATTGTATATACGAACAAAGAATGCTCATTGATTCCCCAGATGATAACTTGGTAGTATGAACTTTGATAGTCATTTTCACCGCTTTATTTCTCTAAGAATTAATGGAGCATAGAAACATACTCTAGTTAGGAGGCAGATTCTTAAAATCTACTATACTAATAAGAGCCCAAGAGAGTTAGGCCTATAATGGGTAGAAAAAATGGCGGTCAAATTTTTTAATCAAATGAATGGCTCAGATCGATCAGATTTTAATTTTTCCTTGAGATTTCCTAATTTATCCTTAATGAATATGATTATCCCTTAACTTTTCCGTTAAATATTATCTTTTTCGTTAGTTCTTGTTAGTTCACCGTTAACTTACTCATTGATTTTAATAAGAAAGGTCTCAGGTTCGAACCACATCCCAATCAAATTAAAGTTGGCATAATTAGTACTCTATTTTACTTTTATTAAATTATATAATTAATAATTTAGTAGTTACAACAAAAAAATAATACATATACATTTCTTTAATTTAGAATTATGTGTGTACAATGTCTTTATTCAAAAACAATTATTCATTATCAATAAATTAAATAAGATAAATAATTTCATTAGTTATATTGTCTTTATTTTTCTCCAATGTAAAAATTCTTTACATTCAAATTAATCAATTAATTATATTCACTACATTGTCTATTATCTTTTTTTTTGTGCACTATTTTTTTAATTAAATATCAATGTTATAATACAAAATAATGCTATATATTTATTTACCAAGTATTTTATTAATACCATGAAAAAATTAAAAATTAAAAAAAAATAATTAATAAAGTCAGTCATATTAACTACTTGAGGGATTTGTTGACAAAGAGAGTATTCAAATCACACAACAAATTGAAATAAGAACTATATTGCAATGTCCTTGTTTGATAATCAGCAGTTAGCTAGCGGTTAGTGTTAGCAGATATGACCAGCGAATTATATCAACGGTTGGTAAAAAGATATTTGAAAAAATTAGCCGTTTAGATTAACACGTAAAATGACCTAAGGGTATACATATATTTCATAATAATAATAATAATAATAATAATAATAATAATAATAATAATAATAATAATAATAATAATAATAATAATAATAATAATAATAATAATAAATTATTATTATTATTATTATAATAATTGTTATAAAAAATAAAAATAAAAAGTATAATTAAGTCAATCATATTAACTACTTGGGGGATTTATTAACAAAAAGATTATTCAAATCAAACAACAAATTGAAGTGGAAAATTATCTCGCAATGTCCTTGTTTGGCAATCAGCAGTTAGCTCTTCAATATTAGTATATATATTTAATATTTTATGCACTAATTTTTATTTGCTCTCCCTTATTTCCCGTATTTGGTTTCAACCATACCCATACAATTATTTTATTGACAATTATAATTAATCTTGATTATATCATCTTGCATTTGTAAACTTAGAATTACCTATTTAAATACAAAAATTCAACATTCAACTATCTATGCATGAACAATTCCAATATAATTTTAAGTTGATATATTTTATAGTACTTATTTAAAAAAAAAAAAAAAAACATTGGGCATTATCTCAATCGCGCAATGCGCTTAAAAAAACTAGTTCCAATAATAAGTGCGTAGTTCATGGTTACTTATATATTAAAAAAAATAAAATTAATACAGAGTAAATAAACTGTATAGTTCAAAAGCTTATTGATATTGATATAGATTTCAGAAGGCGTATTCAAGGAGTGGGCAGAAACAATACGGCGTCGAACGAGGTGTTACAAGCTAAGACTATCAATGCGTTGCGAATTTTGGACCGTGCGGTGACGGCTTCTGTGATGTGGATTGTTGTAGCAGGAATTGAAGCATGTGCTCCATCTCAACTAAAAAGAAATCGTAGCTTATTTAAAGATGAATGAATTTCATGTTTCAATAGTCTCATACCGTGCGATGAATCAATAAAATATCACTCTATATTTTAGTTAGTATTGACATGAAGGTAAAACCTTTGCGTTTGGTAAGACCAAATTCATATGGATAGGCGGTGGTAGCCTGGTAGGGATCGAAACTTAAAATCATTTGGGCAACTCGAGATTTATCTCGTTCATAGGATTTGGGGCAAGTTCATGAGGTTTAAGATATAGTCTAGCAAAATCAGAAAAATTGTATTATTAAAAGAGAAAAGAACAAACTTGTGAGTTTCAATTACAAAAATCATGTTCCATCTACTATAGTGTTTTCCTTGTACGTTTCAGTCTCTGTTTATGGTTTGCCTAATAATAGGGTACCCACTGTGCCCAAAAGTATGGATGTGAGATAAACTACTGGGCAATTGTGTATGTATAAACCTAACATTTTGATCAGTACTGCATTTCTTTTTTGGTTTGCTTTTTGAGAAGTGATATTAAGGCTTGTACCAAACAATGTGCTTTTGTCTGTCTCTACAGCATTTATGTATGCCACTTTAGTTGGTTCTCGTCTTCTCCAAGAACCAACATTGGTTAAGTGCCAATTATTGCATCAGAATTCAGTTTGTATTGTGAGACTATGATATAAGAACTGGGATAAAGATTTAAGTATAATATGTTTAAGTCAATTCATACAACAATGAAGATTATTGCTGGTGACAGATCATGCACTGGTTTTCAACCATAGCAGTTATTTTATCCAGATGTTTCCTCATACGAAACAAAAAAGGTAAGCGATGAAAGCTAGAGTTTTCGGGCTTTAGGGATTCAATCACCTTGAAGAGTCGATTGACTTGATCACCAAATCTGCGTTTTTCTTGGATTTCATGATTAGCTCGGCGTTGGGTCTGTCGTTGTAGTCAATCTGCAAGATGTGGTAAGCAACAAAAGACCATACGTTTTAAAAGGCACTGAATGGTTTGCGGGTTGGTTCAGATAAGGTTAGATACAAAATTACCCGCCATTTAGCAACATCAGGAGGTTTCCCTACACCATAGACAAAAAATTAAAGCAGACCTAATCAGTCCTTTTTCTTCAAGATGGAAATGAGAGTTAACAGACCTGTAGTTTTTGAGCATATACCTGTTGCTATGTGCCTCTTTAAGACTCGTTGCATTGATTTTTCAATGTCAACATCAACAAACCTTCAAAATAAATGCATTGTAACATATGATGTCAAAACAATAATCAAGCAGAAATGTTTTACTCTGATCCACTGATGCCATAAAACCTGTAAACTAGGTAACAAGGCAGTCCTTGTATACTGTGAACAGAATCAGTTTTACGTGAGGAATAGAAATTTGGGCAGGCTAAGTTTAATTTAGAGTTAATACCCAAAATAGTCCCTCGACTATGTCGTAATTACCAATTTGGTCCTCGACTATCATTCTTACCCAATTAAGTCCTCAACTATACAATTTTTACCCAATTTAGTCCTTTGTCAATTTGACTGTTTGTTGACTGTCAAAAGTGGAAATAAAGTGGTAATTTTACAAGTTTCTCCTTCCTCCTCATTTAGTAGCGCCAAACCATGTAGCAATAAGCTCCGGTTGGGTTCTAAACCTGTCAGTATTGAAGTAGTGGTTATGCATCGGATAGCCCATAAATTTGATTTCCAACGATTTTTTGACGATCGAAATCTGATCGGAGTGTATTGCTGCATGGTTTGGCGCTGCTAAATGGAGAGGAAGGAGAAATCTTGTAAAATTATAATTTTATCCCGACTTTTGGCAGTCAACAAACAGTCAAATTAATACAGAGGACTAAACTGGGTAAGAATTGTATAGTTGAGGACTAAATTGGGTAAGAATTGTATAGTTGAGGACTTAATTGAGTAAAAGTTACATAGTTGAGGACTTAATTGGGTAAGAATGGTAGTTGAGGACCAAATTGGTAATTATGACATAGTCGAGGGACCATTTTGGGTATTAACTCTTTAATTTAAATATACAAGTTCTAATGCATTTTGACTACTCCATAAAGTTTGTTTGCTGCTTTTCAACATGCATTCAAAGAGAGAGAGAGAGAGAGAGAGAGAGAGAGAGAGAGAGAGAGAGAGAGAGAGAGGGAAGGGAAGGAGAGAAACATAGCTAAGAAGAATGTCTTACCACTTTTCATCAAATATTGATGAAATATCTTTCCAGACACCCTCTTCCAACAACAAATAATTACCTTCAACTATCACCACTTTGTGACTGCAAGGCCCAAAACAATGGGTAATGCATTAATGCTGGTAATGCGAAAAAGAACTTATCACTTGACTACTATTATTGCTCCAACAGTAACATACTTTTTAAGAACCAATTAAGGCATAAGCAACTAAAATATAATAAGAGCTTGGAATGAGTTTACTTATCCATCTAATAGTCAATCTTTGCAAATGAAAGGTAGATTCTACTTTACTGAATTGAGTCAAGAATATTGCAATAAAATCTTAGGGCAACATTATAATCTAAAGTATAATTTACTTACTGAACACTGACAAAGATATCATCTTCCACTGGATCTCCGACACCATGGTCGAATGATGGAGCATATACTGATCCCTGGTGCAGAGAACATGATACCAGATACTTAATTTCCATGACAGTTTGTATGCTTATTTTAAATCAGTGACAAGAACCATCCTTACTGAGAAATGACTTACTTTATATGTAAATATGTAATGTCTCAGATAACAAGAATTGCCAAACGGCTATAGATATAAAGTCAAATATTAATGATTTAGAACTTGGTCAAATGTGATTTTCTACTCACCTGATCTCTCAGAGTTTTTAAACACGTTAGCAGTAAGTTGGGATCAAATGTCCATGGAGCTGAATTAGAAAAGGTGGAAAAATATTTAGATATGCCATAAATCTTAAAGTACTATTCCATTTATCCCATCTTATCTGTATTATTTTACTTTTTAGTGAGTCCCAAAAAGGTATCCACTTTCTTAAAATGGAAACTCCCTAACAAACAAGAACAATGGAACTCATTTTTGTACTAATAAAATTTCATATTTTGGAATAAACTTTCTACTTCACTTTTCACCATTCTTACATTCAAGCAAATATAATCAACTACTCTACTCGTAATTTGGTTGCAAAAAGCAAATGAGACATAATTCAGGACAGAGATTTTACTAGGTAATTTACTTGAAGAATAGTGTGATAAAGAGCCTAACCTCCCCTTCTGGCATGCGCTTCATCCGGATCCTATCAACCAAAGAACAGCACATATAATATAAAAAGTCCACATAGTTCTAAAGTGAAGCCTAATAAAATCTTCAGATGCATGCTTACACCTACTTGAACAAAATCTGCATGAAGTTCTGCTGTTTAAGTGTTTTGTTTGAAGGTTCTTTCTAAAGAATTATAGGAAACATATAACTCCCATCTTTTTAATGGAGCTAATGCAATAAAACGAGACTAAATCAATGGAGTGGTAGTAGAAATTCAAATTACACGAGCATAACTATTATTGCACCTTGCAAGTATTTAGCCTATCTACTATTGGTCTACAATGATTTTTGTAAACACTAGGGTCAGAACTAGGGGTTTTTTAAGATCATGTGTACCATAGATATAGCATAGTTATTACACACCAGAAAAATCAGCTATTATCAAAACCAACCTCCATTTCATCAAGCTGGCGGCGATAAAGATGGAATCCATCCATTGGAAGAACAATAGCAGTTGCAGGTGTTTCCACTTGGGAATCAAAGGAACAAGACTTCTGTGGCCACAACATATTAACTCTCCGGACAACCTCAGAAGCAAGAGTTGACTTTCCAGCACCGGGAGGACCAGCCAAACCAACAATATGCCTGCACATTTATGCAGATTATTTGCTACAGAGAAACTTTGTGTTTACAAGCTTGCCAATGCTAAAATAAAACGAGAAGTCTAAATTACCGACACTTACAGAGCCTAAGTCTTTATAATGAAAGAGAAGTCTATTTCATGGTGAACAATAAAATCCTATCACCTCGAGGTGAGAAGCAGCATTTACAAGATTGAAGAAGGTATAACTTACTTTAAATTGGGATTTGATGCGGCTGCAGCTGTAGGAACAAGGTGCTCTGCCAAGGCATCATATATGTCATCCATGCACCTAAAAAAACATGAAAGAATCATATATAACAGATTTGAAGTATATTAAGAAAAAAATTAATAATAGTTAATAACACACAGAAATAAATTTATTGTCATTTTTTTACAATTAAAAAAAAAAAAAAAAGAATATCTGTAATATTGCATTGACAAACTGTAAAGAAAATTTTATATGCTAAAATAGGAAAAGGTAAACATTATTTACAAAGCTCAAGGAAATGTTCAAACTAGAAGAGAAATGAAGCCAACATACTCAGCATCCATGACTGGAATTTGTTTCCTTTGGCAACATACCTGAAAAGATGAATGTCAACATAGAATATAAATATATATATAATTTATTTATTTATATATTGGCAGTTATAAAATGGTAAAGAATCAGAGATCAAATAATAATAATTACAACAACAGTAAATAAATAAATAAAATTCACAAAATGAAAGAGAAACACTGTTAGATTGTATCTTAGGTTACCAACTTGTCATAGTAAGATAATTATACTAGCCTGCATTGATAAGCTAGCATATGGACGGTATGGTATCTATTAGAAGCATATTACACATAATTAAGGAAAGCTCTCAGGTGATCATTAATACAACAATTGTATTACTAATAATATTGTCTCATTCCTAATTTTGTTGGTTTAGTCAATTCCACCTCGCCAGCACAGGTGATATTCGTATAAACATAATCTGCAGCTAATTCCAATTACAAACAGGCACAGATCGCAAGAGAAAACGCAAACTGAACCTGCGAATGATTTCCCTTCGGAATTGAAAGTACCGAAGGTCTGATAGCTCTTTTGATCCGCAAAAACGAAGCATAACATTGGTTCGACGCAGGAAACTTCACTCTTCTGAGCAGCAGCAACGTCTCTGCAAAATCGAATGCGAGGTAACATGATTACACATTCCTACGAGTCAATGCACGTATAGTAAAGCATAAAGAGATAGAAACGACGGAGGTGTTAAGTGCGGAACGGCTATAAGATCAGAAATCTATGATTCCATATCGATTTGGCGATGATAAAATTAATGATGCAGTAGCTGAAACACAATTAGAAAGCCGTGATGCAAGCTCGGAATCACACCTGAGGGCGCACGGTGGAGTGTTGCGGACCTCGTTGATAAGGACGTTGAGAACTCCATTTCCACTCCCTGGAATTGAGCAGAGCAATTGCAATTAATTGAATATGCGTAAGCTTTTCAACAGAATGATAAACATTGTAACAATTGTTATGCCATGGACCTGGGTCCGTCTTGCAAGGTGGACTCGCGTCAAAAACTTTTTTTTTTTTTTAAATGCTTCCTTGCCCGTTTGTCTTTAGAATTGATCAAAAGTGCTGTTTTTTTATTTTTTTTCTAAAAATCATAAAGAGTTAGGAAGAAGACAAATAGGAAAATATAACTTGGATAGAGGGAAGAAGAGGAAATAAAAAATAAAAAAAAAAAAAAAAAAAAGGGTGAACTCACTATCCATGTAAGCAGGCAACTATCCGGAAAAAATGGATGGTAACATGTTATCATATGAAATTGCATATATTTTGGGTGTTTAATGACCTAATTGTACTTTTCGTTCAGTGTGACCTAATTACACTTTCAGGTTACGTGTAGTGACCAATTTAGACCTTATTCTGAGAAATTTATTAAAAAATGGGCTTGTCCTAAGAATAATACAACTTAGATTCCTTTTTTTAATAACCCAAGTTTAACTTCACCATGACCCCGCACGGTAAGACTCATGAGAAGTGCATCGAGTCAATCTAATTTCAGAACTCAACAATCAATTGTATACTTTTGTGCATTCAAATTCTCAATGTTCATAACAAGAATGGAGAAAGGAAAACCTACCATTAAACTACATACTTCTGTGCATCCAAGTCACTAAAGTTCACGGCAAAAATGGAGAAAGGAAAACTCACAATAATTACCTAAGATTGAGAGGATATGCATTGTGTAAATCTCGCTCTTGACCAAAAATGTATTGGTAAAATTCAAATCTGCAACATTTTTACACAAATTATATTATATCCACTCGATCACCCCTTTCGAAGCACAATTTTTTATTCTTCAACTAGAACACTGAACATTCACGTGCATAGTTCTTAATCTGAAATCTTTTAGTCCTATTTCTTTAAATCAACCAAATCTTATCCAAAATATCTTAACCTCAGACATGAACTTTGATGCAACAGGAAAAATTATTAAAAGAAATGAAAATGAGAAAAAAGTGGCATTATTCATTATGAAAAGGAATATGAAATACAAGAAAACAGATTTTAATAAGTTATTTATTAACGGGAGAGGAGACAACAGTACAAGGCAAGGCAATGGCCTTTGAATCTTTAATCAGTTCCCTATCTGAATATTGCAGTTTGGTTTATTTAATTAAAAAAAAAATTACAATGATCAGGCAAACATACGTTAGCCTCAGATCGCTCAGATATTTTAGGCCAAGTTTGGGAAAGGGATACAACTACGGCTATTACAGCCTATAAATAATAATAACAACAATGCATGGGGACTGGGGCATATTAGGCTAAGTATCTACAAGCACAGCACACCTGCTTCTTGAAATCTTCCTCTTTTTCTTCTCACCGTCCGATGGCTGCAGATATATAACAAGAGATGTATAAATGTATCATAAATCACAGGGCTTCATGGAGGAAAAACTATTTGATTATAGGGTAAATGACTGAAATGGAAAGGAAAGAAAATGCAATGACAAAAATAGAAAACTTTTTTAAAATGGATAATATTGAGAAAAACTCATTTGAGACGGTGTTTCTTGTATTTTAGCAGGAAAAAAAAAACACATTTTCATTTTTTAAGAAACGCATTTGCAACTTGCGTTTAGCAGGGAAAAAAAAACACATTTTCAATTTTTAAGAAACACATTTGCAACTTGCGTTTTTTGACAAGAAACACGTCCCAAATAAGTTTTTCCCAATATTGTCCATTTTTAAATCCTATTTTTGTCATTGCATTTTCTTTCCTTCCCATTTCAGTCATTTACCTTTGATTATACAGCTTATCTAGTTATCTCTATTACCTGTGGGGTGAACAAGTGAGGTACTTGTATCCTTTTGGAGCCATCAGGTAGGCGTTTGCAAGGAATATTGTTTTCCACTGCCATGAAATCACTGCTGCATACCTGAATGAAATGACAAAACAGTTACTAGAGCTTTTTTATTTGGATGACAAGAGAAACCCGCAACCACTGCCTAAAAGTGTGCACCAAGTAAACCTTGCCTTGTGACTCTAAGAAAGCCAATAAACTACTCTAACTGGAAGTCAAATTTAGAACCTTTTTGTTACCAAGCCAGTAGCCTAACCAACTTATGTGAAGTTGAACCCTACCAGAGCTTTTTAAAAAAAAACAGTGTTGAGCTCTCTATGTAAACTGTTCTTAGTTTGTTGTAGTTTTTGCACTGTAATTTGGGTTTCAAAAGACGTGTCTACTAATCTTAACAGTGTTACAGGCATGATATGGAAGGATAATGTCGAGCTGCTGCAAGGTAAAGGAAAATTTAAAATTTTAAGATCTTATATAGGGTACCTGATTTTGAATGGTCTCAACCAGCATCTCATGGCAACCCGATGCGTGAACATTTTCCAAATTGGCACATTGAAGTAACAATCTCTCTAAAAGATGCCACAGAAACATATGGAGCTTTAGATACTAGACATAATATCACATTTCAACTGGCTTATAGAGAAAGAACTTAAGAAAGGCATCAAAGAGTACCTGGTTGCAAATTACTGCAAGAATTTAGGTTTAGGTCATTAAGTTCTGGGCAATTCAAGTATAATGCCTGCATAAAAATTTGAAATAATCAGGTGAAAATCACATTTGAAATTGAGAAGATTTGCTTCAAAATGTTGATTGTAATGCTCACATCTAAACCAGAGCAACCCCATAAGCTTAGTTTCTTCAACCTGTTGTGTTTAATAATCAACTTTTGATATACAAGGTGCTGTCTGCTGTTGGGCATTTTCTGTACATCATGATCACCATTTGCCTCAGGGTTTTCGCTGTCTGGATTTGGATCACATATGGTCATTCCACAGTCCATGATCTCTAGATTAGGTAATTGAGCTGCGGCAAATTGGATTCCACCTAACGAATCAAAGATGTCAGACTCCATTTCAAATGAATGTGCAATAGATTGCAAAAGGAGAATTATAGGCATTTTGAATATTACTTGAAGTGATATTTGGACAAAGTGCAAGGAGAAGTTTGGACAAATTCTCTGGAAAAACATTGCATATCATTCCAATGCCACTGTCACTTATGCTAGACCTGAAACAAGAGAGAAAGTTACAATCAAAACGAGTCATTCTTAGAAACAAAATATCACAGAATATTACTAGTAGCATTTAAACTAAATTAGACTTTATACAAATGAACCAAATGTATCATCCAGGCTCCTGTCAGTCTTTATTTTTTTACTAATCAAGGTTTCATCAGGACAATTACCATAAAATGTCAGGACTAGGTAAGTAGGTAGCACACAACTCACCCACTAAGATCAAGTAGCTCAAGGCTTGAGTAGCTTGAAGCAATAGCTGCAACAGATGCATCAGTTATTTCAGACCCCATTACAAGAGAAAGCATCCGCAACCCCCTACAGATCAAAGTAACCATGCTCATTTATTAAACTCCTTGTCAAATTAGAAAAGGACAAATATCTGTTGCAGACGAGGAACTTTGTAGTTATATCCAAAACCAAGTGGCATTCAGACCTCAAATTTGCTGCTGTTAGTGCAAGTACAACAGCATGTGAAAGACGAGCAGAAGCAATGTGAATGGTTTGTAGTCTGGGGCAGCCTCTTCCAAGGCCCTCCACCACGGCAGAAAGGTCAGTGCTATCATTCTCCTCAGGAGAAAAATCTAGTGAAATTTCCTTCAGACTAGGGCAGTTGAACACCTGTGCAAATAAGGGAAAAATCATTATAAGGTTGTGATTAGGCTGTTAGTGAACATGCAACTTTGAAACACATACCGTCTTAGAGAGACAACGGAGTCCTGAAAGCCAAAGGGTAGAAAGCTTAGTTGAACAAAGACTGAAACCACCAAGATTAGAGCACCCTTCCATCTTGAGATTGGTAAGGCATTTTCTATCAGAAACAAAATGTCCTAGTTCTTCCCTGCATGAGGAATTATAAATCAAGCCTCATTCATTTTTGCAACCCTAACACAAGACCCACCGAAACTTTGAATCCAAACATATCATGTTACTTAATGTGATCAGACCACCAAAGCAATCCATTAGACAATACTGTAAGAGAAATGCATTGTGTACTACAGGGAAGAAAAAAATAGACATGAACCAGATGGCAAAAAATTTATTGCAATGAGGTAGTATCAGTACAAATTCACAATGAAGCTTATATCTCACAAACAGAACAACACAATATCAAACAGTTTGTGATCATTGAAAGCCATGTATATGAACTTAACAATATGATTAGAGCCTAATTCATAATGAAGTTTAGATCTTTCACATAACAACACAAAATCAAACAGTTATTGATTAAAGCTAAAAGATATGTTTCAACAGTTCCAGATCTGCACAAAACAGAATATATCTAAATAAAAATGACAATAAAAGTCAAGATCAAAAGCATACCCAGTAATCCGATTTACTGAGGTATTGGATGAAAAGATCTCCAAGGATTCCAGATTAGGGCAAGAAAAAGCAATGCAGGCCAGCATCGTAGCATCAACATCACTGCAAGACCAAAAGAGAAAAATATAACAAACAGATCAGCTTCCAGTTCCAGTATGTCGTATACTTCCGTTCTTCTAAATAATGATCACGTTAAGATGTTTATTATGGGTTTCAGTATGGATAATTTCATCGTCGCGTTGATCTAGTGTGATTTTGTTACGGATTTCCTTGTAATTAAGTTTATATCTTCAATCAAACAAATTAATCCATTTTTAATCGACTTCGATCGGTTGATTGGATAAAGTTTTAGATCCGACCCGTCTGCCATTGATGAACCTAACCTTTCCATTCTAAGAGAAAGTCTTACGAGCCCAGGGCACTTCTGCAGCAACGATCTGACGTGTCCAATCTGAGCCTTAGCTGGAACTCTAAGTCTGAGCTCCTCCGCCGCTCTCCACAGCCGCCTAGCCGTATCCCTCCATCCCCTACACACACTCGCCGCGGATAACAACGCCGGCGGAGGCAACCTCCTGAGCACCTCCCAGGCGCAAGCGAAAGGCAAATTCCCGGACCCACCTAGATCCAAAAACTCAAAGTCCTCCTCCTCCTCGTCAGATCCAGGCGATTCACTGACATCAACGTCGTCAAACGACAGAGCTCGCCGGAGCCGGGAGCCAGGCTGGCTGGACGGAGGGGGAGGCAGCAGCTGCGGGAGGGCGGAAGAGAGAGGGGACGGCGAGGCGGAGGAGGTGGCGTCGCTGAGAGCCGTAACATCGGAGGTGGGAGTAGTATAATCCTTAGGGAGATGGCAAACGTGGCCTTTCTTCGGAAGACCGCATCGGCCGCAGTTATAGTTCCCCCGCTTCTTGCCGCCGCGCTTGGGCAAGGCGACGTCGGAGGTGGGCGTGGCGGGGTGCGGGAGGTGGCCGTGCATTTGGGGGTTTTGGGCGGAGGAAGTTGAAACGTGTTGGGGGAGGTGGAAGAGTGATTAGATTTGGGACGAAAATAAAGAGCGCGGAAGTGGTGGGTAAGGCGCGGGAGTTTTGATGGTTTGGCGCCTTGGCGCCTATGCTTTTTAAAATAAAAAATATTCTAATGTGGATAAATGGAGCGTGGTTGACTAATCGGCTAGGGTTTTTCCTGTGTGCCGGCTAATTGCTCATTCGATGGATACTTTATGATTTGTTTTCGGTGATAAGGTGGAAGAGTTCATGTAGTCTAAGATATAGTCATACAAAGTTGAAAGGATTTGAATATTGAATTTATGTGGTTAAAGATATAGTCTAGCAAAATCAAAAAATTCGGATTATCAAAGTTATTTATGTTTCTACAATACTTAATTTATGTAACTAAATTAAATACTTTATATATGTGTATATTTATTTTAAGAAATTTGAAAAAATAAATAAATATGGTGTGATTTAAAATATTGCAATTAGAGTTTTTAATTATATATTAATTTTATTTGTAAGAAATAATTAAAGAAGTAAAACTTTTTTGAAATGTGAACATCAGTTCACGATATAACTAGTAAATAGTAAAAGGAAAATCATCAAATAAATTATACGAGGCTATAAGTTAAGGGAGTTGTACAATTGATTCGTTGAGTTCCATCTTTTAAATTGGTAAAGATATTAATGATTTTGTCAAGATCGAGTTCACCGCCCCCGAGCGGTCGTGGGAAGTTCCGCCCCGAGCGGTGACTTGCGTTCCTCCTTCCTTTATGGGTTACCATATTTACTTATTCACACATTCCTTTTCTTCCAACCATGATCTTTGTCTTCATATCCCAACAAGGCTTGCGTTAACCTTCTTTCTTTACCACTCTCTTTGACCAAGACTTATCGATAAAGATGGGTATCGGGGTCCCATCACGAGTTCCTCACTTTATTTTGTCGTCTTTGACAAATAGATAATATATAAACACCCCTACCTTCCAAACATATTGACACTTTTGATTTGATTATCCTCTCTCCTTGATAGCATGGTTCCTACCGCATTCCATGCACGTGGTTCGTCATGCCAACTTAGCTCCCACACATATCCTGCAAGAAAAACAAACATATTTTTTGTCGGCTTCCCTTCATGCAGGTCCATCCAATTGCTCAAAGCCAACCTTCAACATTTCAACCTAACTAGATGGAAGCATATACACACTCTCTCACACACTCAATTTTTCTTAGCAAACAATAGAAAGTGATTTTAATCGTGACTACAAAAAATAACACGAATAGTCATAATTTTTTCATAGTAAGAAACCTTGTGATGATAAATTGTACATATACAATTTTCTTTTTGGTGGTATCTATTAGCATTGATTTAAACTTTAATTTATTACTCATTATAATAAATCCTCTTCAATTACTTGTAAGAAACATCCACATTATAATTAAAAACAAAAAACAAAAAAAATCCACATTCTCAAAACCTTCTTCAAAACTTCTCAACACAAATCTATGACATTTAAAGACTCAATTTCTTAATTTCTTGCTATATATGTAGGGATAATCATAGAGCGGACAAATCAACATCTAATATGTAAAATGTGATTTTGAAATTTTCCACTCGCATCCACTAAAAGCAAGGATCCAATGCAATCTTATGGTCATTCCACTATGTCGCATTGAATGTGAATTATTAAGGGATTTTTCCCTCTCGTTCTCTTCGCGAGCTTTGTCTTCTCCGAGTGTGAATGTTTCTTTTTTGCTTTCTCTGGCCGTCTCTCCAAAGTGATCATGGAGGGCTCCAGGGCGTCAACATCTGCTGCTCATATCTCCATGGCAGATCTTGATGAGGATGGTGTTGTGCATCAAATTGCAAATTTGTCGCTAGGTTCATCCAACGATGATCATGTTTTTTTGGCTGTAGGTCGGCTGGTATCTAATAAATCCACCAAGTTTACCTATTTTAGGGACACAATGGCGTCAGTCTGGATGTCGGCGATGGGCATGAATGTACAGGAACTCGAGGGTCATCATTATCTCTTCCGATTTTATCATGAAGGTGATCTTGAACATATCATCGAGAATGGCCCTTGGGCCTTTGAGCATAGTCTCTTAGTTCTCAAATGCATATCTCCCCGCGGAGGATCCCACTACGGTTATGCTAGACGACGCATCCTTTTGGATCCAGATCCATGGACTACCAACGGGCCGAGGATTCGTTCTGAGGCTATTCTAGAAGCCATTAGTGGGTTCATTGGTAAAATGGAAAAGGCTGATGAAAGGAACTTTGATGGTGGTCCCCGTACTTTCTTCCGGGTCCGTGTAAGTATTGATGTGAATAAGCCACTTAGAAAGGGAATGAAATTGAGAAAGGATGATGGGATCTGGGTACCGATGGAATTTAAATATGAACACTTTCCGATGTTTTGTTTTGTGTGTGGTGTTATGGGGCATGGCAATCGGTTTTGCCCCAAAGTCAAACTACGCATCTGGGATCCAAAGAAATATAAGTCATTTGGTCCAAATCTCCGTGCAAGGGGTAGAAGGGGTTCATCATCGGTTGGCACAAAATAGATAGCAGGGGCTTCGTTTTGAGGCTATTCTAGAAGCCATTAGTGGGTTCATTGGTAAAATAGAAAAGGCTGATGAAAGGAATTTTGATGGTGGTCTCCGTACTTTCTTCCGGGTCCGTGTAAGTATTGATGTGAATAAGCCACTTAGAAAGGGAATGAAATTGAGAAAGGATGATGGGATCTGGGTACCGATGGAATTTAAATATGAACGCTTTCCGATGTTATGTTTTGTGTGTGGTGTTATGGGGCATGGCAATCGGTTTTGCCCCAAAGTCAAACTACGCATCTGGGATCCAAAGCAATATAAGCCGTTTGGTCCAAATCTCCGTGCAAGGGGTAGAAGGGGTTCATCATTGGTTGGCACAAAATAGATAGCGTCGGAGACAACGGTGGAACGAAAGGCTTGAGCTACGCCGGGGTTGCGTCCGGCGGAAGTGGCTATAGATGGAAAAGATTCTTCCACAAGTAACGTCAATTCTCTTTCCTTACCTGGAAGGCTACTTGACGTAATGCATGGTCATTCTGAGAAATTTAAGGAAACAGTCAATCCCCTCTTTAATATTTCAACTGACACAGACGTTAATGAGGCTGAACGCGGTTTAGTCGTTTATGATAAAAAAAAAAAAAAACAAAAAAAAAAAACGATGACGAACGGGGGCTAATGATAGTGCCATTGATGAAGAGTCCATGGATACGAGCAAGGCCATTCAAAAAACTTGCAACTGGCGGGTATTGGTGGATCCCAATCTCGCCCTTCGCAATGAGTATCATTAGCTGGAATTGTCGGGGGTTGGGGAGTCCTCGAACAGTTCATGAACTGTTGGGCCTAGTGTCTTAGCAACATCCCTTATTTGTTTTCTTAATGGAGACAAAGTCGAAGAAGGAGAAGGTGGAGTTTGTTCGTGCAAGAATGGGATTCGATTGCTAACAAATCCATTCAAGCTCAACTTAAGTAAAAATTTGACCCAGTTTGAATCAAACTTTTACGGGATAGTTCACCTTGTTTGTATCTTTAGTTTTGATCGAATTGGTATTATCTAACAAAATAATACTGTAATACGATAAATTGTATTTTTAGTCTTTGCAAAGTGTTAATTTTAATTATTAAATGATTAAATCAATCACTTTATTAAGTGATAATTTTACTCTTTTAGTCATTAAATCAATTACTTTATTAAGTAAGATATCAAGGCTAAATTTATAGCACATATCATTGAATGGCCAAAAATAAAAATTTCCCTAATAATAATAATAATAATTTTATTTTCGAAAAAAAAATAAAAAAATTCCGATTTGCAAAATACCCCTCGAACTCCAACCGCAACCATCGCCCACTTCCTCCCGCCTGCAAAACTGTCGACTCTCACTTCACCGCCATTTTAGTACACGATCGTTTCCTGAGTTTTGGTGTGGAGTGAGGGCTGCTTTGCTATTCAACTACACAGACAGAGATTCCTAAAGGTTTGTATGCATCTTCACCCATTGTTCTATGTTCTCTTGCTTACCTGTGTTCATTCATGCATGTTCACCCATTAGCTAGGCATCTATTTCTAGAGCTCAAAAGGTTAGGGTTTGTATGTCTGTCAACAAGTATTGACGTCTATTTTTACCAAAATATATGTTACTGTAACAATTACTGTTTGATATTAGAATCGGGCAGCACCAGAGACCCGAAATTTATTTGTGCTGGTGAGATATAGGTTGTGGTTTTTGTTTTACAAGCAACGTAATGTGGGGTGTTCATCTTTATGTTTGGCAGTGAACTTGTGTGGTTGATGTTATGATGTGTTGTTGGTAATTTCTTTTCAAATTTCCACACTCGAATGGTTATTAATTAAAACAGTGATTTGTGGTGCTTTGACATGTAATGAGTCTCTTCTGATTGCAATGGGAAGGCGGTGAAAGGTGAATTCACATTTTTCTTTTGAGTGATGAGGAAATTGTAGCCATTACGAGGGTGTATACGAGACCATAGTCAGCTAAACCAGCCTAGTTTGGCCATAGCTGACCGGCTCAAACCAAGAAGACTAATAGGTCGTTCTCGTTGAGAATCAAACTTGTAACGTTGTAGCTACCAAGTCAACAATCTGACTAACTTGGCTGGGGTTACCCCAATGTGAATTCGCATTTTTGGGGTTATATTTGCAATGGGTAATGGTAGTAGCAATGTTTGCAGCAGGAAATGCAATAGGAAGATCATTAACTAGAATGCTTTATGTAATGGATGCGAGGATGATATGATATATTTCATAAGAACGAGGTTATATTTGATAAGCAAACATTTGATGTAATATGCAAAGTGTTTATACATGTGCTACCTGGCTCCGGGAATTATTTCCAGATCCAATGGTCTTTTGAGTCCTGTCAAGGTGCCATGCTGTGTATTCCAGCGTCAAAGTTGATTGATTTTATTGTTTGTTATTAAAGAACTATGCACATTTTAAGAATGTTTATTCGTTCTTTAAATATGGCTCATAACACTCATGACTGTGTTTACAACTTTTTTGTTGCTATATATACA